GATTGAGGACAAATCCTTTTGAAGAGGTGAAGATGATAAGTATGTCAACAACAAAATTCTGATCAAAACATTTCAAAAGGAGGTGATGAGAGCTCAATTGATTTCAATCATGTCGCATTAACCACTCAGGCACATCAACATTTGTTAAAAAAAACTATTTTTAATTTCATAAATTATGTAAAAGTCAAATGATCAATTTGACTTATTCTTTTATGAAGATTAAAGGGGATCGGGAATAAATTTCATCCACAAACGTCTTTTGTCGAGAGACTATAAATACCCACGATATGTTATAAACTTCAGATTCGTGGATGAATGTAATTCAGATCTCAAATTGAGACGTATTCCTTAGAAATCCGAGCATCATATTTGCCATTTCTAAGTTTCAAGTAATTCTTGTGGTAGAATTGAACCTGAAGTTCAATTGTGGAGTGACTCAATTTAGAACAAGGTTTCCAAATCTTGATTCTAGATCTTCGATCATAAAAGTAATCTAATTCTAGCCTTATCTCTTGGTTGATCCAAATTTCGTATAAGGAGGTGTTAATTACTTTGATTCAAGGGTTCATGCTCAAACAAAAGCTTGGATCGTTGAGCTGAGAATTAAGGTTGCCTTATCAGCTTGTGGCCTTAGAAGGAATGAAACTCGGTAACTAGCTACCGGGGGCACCTCATTTGTTTATAAACAGGTAAAACTCAAACATTCATTTATTTTAGTTCAGTTTATTAAAAATGCAAATTATAACTAGTTCATTAGGTTTGGATTATAATAGTTAAGGGTGAAAAAAATAATAATTTTCTTGTTTCATGTTGTTTTCATCTTCAAATTGTAGCATGTACAAGTGAACCAGTAGACCAAAGAAAAAAGATTTTAATTTCGGAACTGAATATTCTTCCGATTGCAAACATTTCTATCTTTAACAGATCTCTTTCATGTTATTTTCATCTTCAAATTTAGCTTGTACAAGTGAAACACTTAGATCAAATATTTCACAATAAATAGAGGTGCATAATAACACCATAATCGACAACAACTCCCACAACACTTTTCACCATGTCAATATCAAACACATGAGTCTTCCTCTTGTTTGCCTTTGTCATTTTGCTTCCAATAGCTAAATCACAGTTTTTTTACCACTCTTAATTTGTTTGCCTTTGTCATTTTGCTTCCAATAGCTAAATCACAGTTTTTTTACCACTCTTAATTTGTCCAGCAGTGGCCTTATAATTTTTGTGTTTTACCATCATGACAATGTGCAGTAGGAGGGATAAATTTCTTCACAATTCATGGCTTGTGGCCTCCGAAGAGAAGAAACTCGGGAACTAACTGACGGGGCATCTCCTTTGTTTATAAACAGGTAAAATTCAAACATTCATTTATTTTAGTTTCGTTTACTAGATATGCAAATTATAATTGGTTCATTATGTTTGGATTATAAGATTTAAGGGTGAAAACAATATAATTTTCTTGTTTTATGTTCTTTTCATCCTCAAATTGTAACTTGTAAGTGAACAAGTAGACCAAAGAAGAGAGATATTAATTCTAGAACTGAATATTCTCCATATTGCAAGCATTTCCATAGGTCTTTCATGTTATTTTCAACTTCAAACGGTAGGTTGTACAAGTGAAATACTTAAGATCAAATATTTCACCATAAATAGAGGTGGTCATAATACAACTCCTTCACACTTTTCACCTTGTCAATCCCAAATACAGAGTCTTTCACTATATCATTTTGCTTCCCATAGTTAAATCACTTTTTTTCTACCACTTTCAGTTTGTACCACCGTGGCCTTATAATTTGTGTGCTCTACCTCAAGACATTATAATTATATAGAAGGAGAGTTTCTAATTATTTTTCTAATTTATTATGGTTAAATACAGATTTTAAATAGAATTTAAAAAGGTAGAATTTAAAAAGGAAGTTTTGTGTTTTATTGTAATAATTAAATAGAAATTTTTTTGTTTTATTTAATAATGAATGTGGATAGATAGGTAGCTGATATTCTTTTTATGGGTAAATTCTATTGAATTTATTTATAATTTTTTAATTTGAATTTTCTATTTCAATTATACTTCTATATATTTAGGATCAAATTCAATTTAAGTCCTATGTATATTTTTTTTATTAGCTTTTTTAATAATATTTTGTTATTTTTAGTTTCTTTGACATTATTATTTTTAATCAATTATATATATATATATATATATATATATATATATATATATATATATATTATTTTGTTTAGTTTCTTTTATAATATTTTATTATTTTTAGTTTTTTTTATATTATTTAATATAGCTAATATTGTAATACATTTTTTCTTTTTATATATATAATAGGTAGGTGAAGCTAATTTAATACTGCTATTTGTTAAAATTGTTAAAGGGAAGGGTGGTAATTTAATGTACTTTACATATAAACTTGAAGTAGGATGATTTAATAATTAAAAGAGAATGGGGAGTGGAATTTAATAAATAACAGAGAAATGGGGGAAATAAATCAAAATTTAATTGGAATTATTCTAAGTAATAAATATTATAAAATAAACTAAACAAAATAATAAAAACGTACTATGATATTAACTATAAAATAATATAAAAAAATTTAAAAAAATAAAATATATTAAAAGAAATTATTGGAAGGATATTAAATTAACTTTAACTACGACATAAATTAACTTCCCTTACACATTAATTTTTTTTAAATATACTTAAAAAAAATTAAAATATATTAATAAAATTGAAGAGTATTAAATTAACTAACTATTAAATTAACTCTTCACCAATATTTTTTATGTACTCAAAAAAGAAATTTAATAAAATATTATTAAAAAAAACTAAAGAAAATGATGTATTACGATATTAACTTCTCTTTTTAATATACTCAAAAAGAAATTTAAAATTTATTAAAAAATATAATAAAAAAGAAACTAAAAATAATAAAATATTATAAAAAAAAAACTAATAATAATAAAAAAAAAAGTATATTAAATTTAAACGTGAATGATTGAAATAGAAAATTTAAATTAAAAGTTATAAATAAATTTAATCTATCCATATTAATTATTATAATTATAACACGCAAAAAAAATTATTTTAAATTTTATTTAAAATCTTTTATTATAAATATTAAAACTAATTCATCGTAAATTTATATCAATTTATATTAATTCATCAAAATTCATAAAAAAAAAATTAAAAATAAAAGAACTAAACCTCGAGAATTAGAAACTTTCTTTTATATAATTTATTTTTTTAAAATTTGTCAACTTACAAACTATTATATCATATAAATTTATCGGACAACATTGTTATGAGTAATTAACTAAATTTAAAAAAAAAAACTCATTTTAGTCTTTTACAAAAACACACTCCTATATAAATTTTATATTTTATAAAAAAAAATATTGTCTAACTCATTTATATAGATGACTATTTGTAAATAAATTGTTAAGATTGTGATTTTTTTTATATCAATACTTAATTGAACTGTACCATTTTTTGAATGGAAGTATAATTAGAGTCATTTATTGGTCTAAAAAATTTGAAGGACAAGATAATTAAATATTAAAAATTCAGCAATAGTATTTTATTTAATATTTCCCATTTAATATTTCAATATTTCAAAATTTCAAAATTTTTGTACAAATACTTTAAATCTCATATTTAATAATCTAATAATTAAAAAGAGAACAAAGACTTACAATAGGCATGTTAAACCATAAATCTAAATAATATTTTGTTTAGAATGATAAAAATTATTTTAAAAAAACATAAAATTAGTATATTTCCCATTTTATTTATGGTTACCCGTAAATTAACACTTATGTTGCATATATTTTATCGGAGTTCGTTATTATTATTATTCTCTTCTTTTTAAAATTATTTTATGCATTTATTTTGAAATCAAGAATAAAATCTATAATTTTTTTTATAATTTAGGGTATTGATTAGAGGAATTTTAACACAAAATAAAATCATTTATTAACCATATACAAAATGCAATTTAGTGTTGTTTTTAAAATGCAATTTTTCACATCATAGGTTGTTTGGATTCTCAAACGTTTCTGAAAATATTGAAATACGTCAAAAGATGGATTTGAGATCCCTCCGTTCATGATTTTAAATTTTCTCCATTCGTACTAGTACAGATTTACTCGTTATTCTATTCATTTAATTCGTAAATACATATATAAGCAATTTTTTGATTGAAAATATTGAAATAGATTTACTCATTGTCCTATTCATTTAATTCGTAAATACATATAAGCAATTTTTTGACTGAAAATATTAAAATTCGTCAAAAGATGGATTTGAGATCCCGTGAAATTAAATTTTCTCCTTGCGTACCAGTCCAGTATACTTTACTCGTTGTTCTATTGATTTAATTCATAAATACATATATAAGCAATTTATACCTATAATAGTGATAGGTATTCGAGGCAATTGTAAAATTTCAAAAATGGGGTCGCCCAGACTTAAACTAGAGAACTTCAGTGTGTTAAACTAACTTGATAACCAACTGCACATCACCATCACCATTGGAAGCATCCCAAAAGGTCACTCAAACTATAAAATGAAGCCTAAACTTCCTAGAGCCTAGAAAAAAGTCCTTGGAAACCTATTCTATGACTCTACGTCTAGCAAAAATAGTCTGTTGGACCAATCAATCTAGACTTCTGATACTAATTTAGTTCATAAATGCCAAGCATATATTACACCTACAGTGTAAAATCAATCAATGTCATTATTGCATAGTATGATGCATACAAACCTACATTTTGAAATGTTTTCACTATCAAAGTAGCTCTATATATATCCACTAAACTTTCAATTAAATCATTCATAAAGTGATTACTAGATATACGAAAATCATATCCATCGGAAGATTAAGTAGGGTCATTTTATTATAGTGTGCCATCTCATATCAATCAAAGTGTTAAAGATATTTAGTAATAAATTATAGTTTACCATATATATTATATTTGATATTTTATTATAGTTTACCATATAGTAATAAACAGTCAAAAGGCTCCCAATCTTGTAAGAAGTTTGCTACAGCCTGCTTTTGCACCTCAACGGATTCGTATCTACGTCGCCGATGCATATCTTCCTCAGCTAGCTGTAACATGCCTCTGATCACATTGAAATTGTCGTCATCCTCTATCACATGCACAACCCCCTTGTTCAACCCAAATTCTACGTGTTAGTATGGAAAGTTCTCTGGGATTGATCCACGCAATCCCTGAACACTTGTATCTATCAGGTTTTTTGAATTGTGCTGGCTCCATTCTTCCTCTGCTTCATCAATAGCCTGAAATGAAAGATTATTATTGTTGGAAGCAAAGAAACAGATTAAATCATCATCTAAGATAACTGTTTTCTGAATTTAACTCATAAAAAAGTAGTTACTACCGACCGGAAAACCTTCTCCTTAGCTATCGATGACCACTATAGAGGCAGTAGAGCAAGAAGAAAAGAAAGTGGACATATCTCTTCCTACAGTTTGTACATTACATGGAAATCGTTGGTATGGCTTGAACATCCTTCAATCTTCTCCTAAATGAACCGTGCTCATTCAAGTTTTCAAAAAACTAAGAAGTGAAGACTATGTTTTATGGGTCGAGACACTAAGAAACAAACAGTTATTTCGCATAGGTTAAACCAACTCAACAACAAGCGAAAATGAACCGCGCTCAATCAAGCAATGGCGACGTTGTTTTGCCAAGCCCACAACTGTTTGAAGAAAAACCACATCTTTCTCTTGCTTTGCAAACATAATAATCAGACACTTCTTGAAGTTGCGAATTTCCTCCCAAACAGTTTTCTCCACACTTCTTGTGGCTGATTCATGCTGAAAAGCAAACAACTCACAATGAAATTGCTTCTGAAGAATCATGTGAGAACAAAAAGATGAGCTCATTGCAATTTTTTAGAACATGCTACAACTTTGGACAATATTTGTGCATAAAAGCTTTTTGCTCTCATGAAAATTTGGACAATTGTTCTCCACCAAGCTCGTTAAGCATGCTCAAGAAAAGGGGGTTTCAAAATGTAAAAACATTTGCATTTTTTGAAGTTCTTTTTTAGTGATCCAACATACTGAAGTCCCTTACATGTAAAAAGAATAACAATTTCATTTCAATTAACCACAGTAGAAAACCCACAAAAACAGGATACAAAGAGAATTAGACTTTAAACTTACTGAAATAGGTAAAATGCAGCAATGGCCCGTAACCACAGGCTGCCACTGAGGCAGCATCAAATATGTGCAATTTGCTATTGACACAGTCAGATGTTTTGGCCTGTTAGGATTTTCAAAGCAAAAGAAGCAGCGTTCTTCCTGAGTTGCCATACGCCTTGGACGAATATCCCTCCCAGATAGCTTATCATCATTACTTCCCCTTTTTCTTTGAGTCGTTTTTCCTGAACCATCTTCATAATCATATTCATTATCTGCCCGACCCGACATGCTGTACTGCTTGTTCTTCATTATACTTTCTCCATGTGGAGCAATATTTTTTTCCCCGTGAGGGGCCACTTTTAAGCATCCACTCCAAGCCCATTTCTTTTCTAACAATTTCTTTGTCATCTTTAGAAGTCTCTCTGATGCTATCTAAGAATTAGAAAAACCAATGAAACCACATAATGTTCTAAAATATGAAGCATGACAATAAAAGAAAATGAGATGCATACCAAACATTTCTTCTCCAAGGTGTCGACTCTTTCTTTTCTTATCCCGGTTTCTTTCACCTTGTCTCCTATGTTTTCGTCACTTTTCAACACTATCACTAGAGCTATCATCAGTATCAGTAGATGTAGAATATTCTCTAGCTCAAGTGTTCCTATCACTCCTTGATTTCCTTTTACTCGCTTTTCTTGTATGATGTTTCTTCCCATCCCTCTGATAATCTTCCCTCATGTCACTATCTGTTGGAGATGTTGAATAGTCCTTCGATGATTTCTTCCTCCCAAATTTCTTCTTTTTTGTGTTCTGGTACTCCTCATCTCAACTACTGTAACGTGTTGACTTTCGCTTACTTTTCTGTTTCTTATTACTCTGTTTAGAAGAAAAAGAGCATAAATGAATCACCTCGAGTGTGATACCCAAAGCCAATAATCATATGTTATGCTATGTTAATGTTATGACATATGTTATGATGTGACGTGTTGATGATACAATATATGTTATGTTGTAACACGTTTGACGATATAAAACAAGTTGTGAGGTGTTTTATGATATGTTATATGCATGATATGACATAAGACCATGTATGTTATGAATCATACGAGATTCAACTCCGATACATGCCTTAAACGCTATGTTGAAAAATGATATGATTTGAAGGAAGATAGAAGGGGTTGTTTGACATGATAATGAATGAAAATGTTGGGATCTCATGCATCATTGAATATCCTCTTGTTATGATTGTACGGACACGTATGTTACGAGACAAGAAAACAATCATTATATTTATCATAATGCTGCAACGATAACTATTCCTAACAAGTGTCCAACATCAACAGCTTTAGAGAATGCTCGCACAACTAAGAAAGCTATCCATGATTGTATGTACTTGCATTTAACGTATACTCGTATGTGTGGGTTGTGTATAGAAGAGTATCCAATTACCCATTTAGGATAACTGTCTAAGGGAGTATTAAATTGAAAGAATAGACCTCATCTATGATTGTATACACTTGCATTTAATCTAAATAGTGGAGTTAGTATTTCTTAAAATACTCGTTAGTAGCATGGCGATGACATCTTAAAGCTATGACACATGGATAAGATAGTAATATTTATTTATTTTTGGAGTTATATAAATATAAAATTTGTGTACAATTTTATTATCAAATTAGGAGAGAGAGAGATTTTGGTGTGATATTTTAAATGTGAAAATATCCCCCGAAGGGCCACCAATATCCTTTATCTTCTACATTCTTCATCTTCTGCCATTGTCTGACTCAAATATCTCTGTTTCCATCCAACTGAACTCAAACACAATGGATGGTTTTGAAGCCATGACTCAGGCTCAAAATTTCCTTGTAATCAGAGAAGACTACTTTGTTCATTACAAATCCCCTGTTTTTCCCCCAACCCACCACCAACAGTTCCCACTCATAACCCCAACCCACGCCCACTCCGAACCCTCCCATGAATCCGAACCATCTAATCAACCATCTGAGCCATCTGATGAGCCATCTGATGAGCCATCTGATGAACCATCTGATGATGAGCCGTCTTCTCCGGCGGCCTCGGATTTGCAATCGAGAGCAGTCGGAGAAGCGATTATGAGGCGGTGGGAGATTGTTAAAGCGAAGGTGATTTCTGGGATTGTTGGATTTGGATCCCACGCTAGGAGACTATGCTCTGCTCTGCCGGTTACTGCAATGGCGACGGCTCTGTTCCTGCTGCTGCTACTGTTTCTGTTCAAGATCAAGATCAAGATGCGGCTGCCATGGCGCCCACCAACTGCGGGTGTGTGTCCAGATAACGAACACCGTTTGCTTCTTCTCCTTAAACACAAGGATCAGGTTCGATCTTCAACACCCAATGATTTTTTTTTTTTTTTTTTTTCATTTTTCAAATTAATTCATCAGTAATAATTTTTATATTTTTTAAAATTTTATAAATTTAATGCTAATAAAGGTCTAATTATTTAAAATTTATTAATTGTTGTTAATTATTTTATTTTTATAAATTCAAATGATTAAAAATTATCCAAATTTGGGAACCTTAGAATAATTTTTTTCAATTAACTAATAATAATTAATATATATTTTCAAATTTTATAAATTTAATGCTAATAAGGGTCTAATTTGTCTTTTAAAAATCTAAATCCAATTTAAAATTTATTAAGAGTATACTAAATTTAAAATCTTATAAGAATTTATAAATAATATTTATATTTGGGTCACAGAAGTATCTAATAATTTAAGATTGTTAATAATTTGATTCTTATGAAGTCAAATTATTAAAAATCATTAATAAAAAAAAGAATTATATAACACATTAAATATAATAGAATAGTTAGTTAAATATAATTAATATTAATTATATTTAGTAAAAATGAATTAAATGTATATTTAAATAAATTAACATGGATTGATGTAAGATTTTGATTTGAGAAGATTATATTATCTAAATTACTTAATTTTATTTTCCAGAAAATCAGTCAGCTCTTAGTTCAGATCGCCCAAATGAACGAAATGCTATCAGCTCGTCGAAAGGTTCCCGTTGTGAGAATGAAATGACAAATATAGCCTTAAAAATGGTTCAGTTTCTGGGAGGAGCTGCTCAGTTTTGATGGCTTTGAGTTTAGAAGTATGCTTTGTATATTTACTTTTCTTTCTTACGTGTTAAATGTATAATATCCAAGTGGTATAGATTTATAAATAAAAAAGTATAAATATTTTATACTTAAATTATACATTTAGTTCGCGGAAAAAATATCATCGCTCGCGGGATAGAGTCAAGCTCAAGATATATAAACATTTTAGGAAAATGATCGAGGTAATTGATAAAGATACCTAAATATTTTAGGAATAGATTAAATAATTAAATAGTTTCGGCTATAAATACCCTCCATCTCATCTAGGTTTTCATAACAACCCGGTCTCAATTAGAGAAAAGTGTAGTAATATTCCGCGAAATATCTTGTAATCTCTTATCAATTGATGTAAATAAAGAGTGCGAGTGTTTCCTACAAAGAGTTGTCTTCAATAGTATGACATTAGAGCAAGTTTGGGGTAGGTTGTCTGATTTCTCTTAGTATGCTATGTGGTTGTAGGTTTGTCTGATCTTCCACATCAGAAGAAACGATTTCTTGAGATTATTAGTGAGTGAATTTCTTTGTGTCGTGAGTAGTTTTGACTCTGCAAGTTTTATGTCAAAAGAGCTTGTTTGGTATTACTGAGGTATAGCCAACACGATGGGTGATTTCCAAATCGTTTGAGAAATTGAGAAACTCAACAACAACAACTACAACGTGTGGGCGACATGCATGATGTCCTATTTACAAGTCTATTGAAAGCCATGTGGCAACCTCCGACATGAAGATGGAGGATGAATGGGATGCAGAGGTACTATGTCCCATAGAAGAAGACGAGCTAGAGCTCATGACGATGGTGGGAGAACATATCAAATACGAGGATGACTAGATCATTGATTCAGGATGCTCAAATCACATGGTTGACGATCAGAGTGATGTAATGAAAGTAGGGTGGCCCTCGAAGAAGGAAGTATTACCAGGTTTGGACAACATAGAAGAAATCATACCACATAAGTGAAAAACAAATAACATCTCAACAACTTAGATGATCAGAAAAAATATAAAATCCAAATTCAAAGTATGTCAAAGCAGCTATTATAAAAGACAAGTTAAAAAGCCAGAGACGTATGAAGAAACATTACAAAATACGGTTTGGCAACGAGCAATGGAGGAACAAATTATAGCCTTGGAGCAAAATCAAACGTAGGAACTAGTGTCAAGACCAATAGATATCAAACTCATCTCTTGCAAGTGAGTTTACAAAATAATGTGTCTCTTGGATAGATTAATCGAGAGATACAAGACTCAACCGGTAGCTCGAAGGTTCTCTCAACAATATGGACTAGACTATAATGAAATATTTTTTGTCCAATGGAAAAAATCACTATCGTACAGGTTCCTCTAACACTTGCGGTAAATAAATATTGAAAACTATGACAAATGGATATAAAAAAGGCTTTCTTGCATGGAGAGTTGGACCAGAAAATCTACATGAACCAACCAAATGGATTTGAAAATGAAGCTGGAGTCATTAGTTAGTACATGCAAAGTCCGAAGAAACCTCATTTGAATGTGGCTCGACAGATCTTGCGATATGTCAAAAGTACAATCGATTATGGTCTTTTGTACAAAAGAAGTGAAGACTGCAAGCTAGCTGGATATTGTGTGCTAACCATGTATGAGACCATGATACTCAAAGATCAATCACTGGGTATAGGTTCAAGCTTGGTTCGAGAATAATTTCCTGACGTAGCAAAAGACAAACAATATTATCATTATCAACTACAGAATCAAAGTACAGAGCAGCGATTGAAGCAGCTCAAGAAAGTATATGACTGAAGCTATTAGTGGAGGGTTTGCACCACAAAGTTGACTATCGAGTACCACTTCATTGCGACAACTAATTTGCGGTTTGCCTAGCGAAAAAAATTAAGGTCTGATGCTAGAACAAAGCATTTGGATGAGCATTACCATTTTATTAGAGAGAACATCTTCATGGAAGAATACAGATGACTAAGTAGCAAACTTGTTTACAAGAGGGCTGGATACTGATAAACATGAGTACTTTCACTATTAGCATATCACCACTAGCTCGATAGGGTCAAACCCAATACTATATGAGCTCATTGTATATTTATTTTAGTAATAAAGATATCTAGATATTTTAAGAAAAAGATTTAGATATTTTAGGATTAGATTGATTAGCCTCTGCTATAAATATCCCTCCACCCTACCTAGGGTTTCATCCCAAGAAGTCCACTAATATTCTACATAGTGTTTAATCTCTTTTG